TTGAGAATTGAGATAGTAGAGTGTTGCACTGTTAAGTTCAAGGGTTGTAAACAATATAACAAGAAGTTCGGCGCATTTCAATTGACTTTTTGAATGGCTGAAGCGACTTATGGATCGTCTGGAAGGAACAGAAGCGCGCTCATAGCTGCTTTTGAGCAGTACATAGAATTGGTGATCAAATCAGGAAATGGCTCAACTTGAGAATTGAGATAGTAGAGCTAGTGTTGCACTGTTAAGTGTCATGGAAAAGTTGGAAGGGAGGAGGGAGGGTTCACTGCAAACTGATACAGAAGCTTTTATTAATATGTTGCACATTGATTTACAAAAGTAATGGCTTTTTTTCAGCGGTAGCTGCCATGCAAGGTCTTTATCTAATCTTCGGTCATTTCGCTCAGCTTGTTTGCAACTTCATGGGGTTCATCTATCCGGCTTATGTAAGGTAAGTGTTATGTTCTATCCGCTACCTTTCAATGTTTGTATTAGATCAGAGCAAAAGATGTTTTTCTTTAGTATAAAGGCAATCGAAACAGCAACGAAAGACGACGACACTCAGTGGCTTACTTATTGGTGAGTATTTGCTTTTTTCTCCTTCAGCTCATGCCCTATTCTACACCGCCCTCTAGTCATGTCAGTAAAGCGACACCACGTTCGCTTAGTCATATAATGGCGTGAAAGGTGTGCACTAAACAATGACAGTGGTTATGGAAAGGTTGCCAAATGTCGTTAGTCCGAAAAAGCATAGTAAAAACGAAAACGAGTAGCGTTCACGCGCGCCTGATACGTCAGTCTTATGATTTTGATTCTTTTGTACAAAAATGAGGCGATTTGTTTATACCCATGACTGGATTTCTGCTTAGTGATTCTCTTACTTTGTAGAAGACTTCTAGATGTCAATAAGATGTATTTCTTCCCCTTCCTTTGTCTTAGTCGGCTATCTTTCCATTAGTTTTACGTAAGATATGTATAGGGGGGTTATCGTTACGTTTCGCATCTGCCCTTTCTTAGCTTTATTCCTCACGACTACGCCTTGACCCCTTTCTTGTCTTCTCGTTAGCCGTAACTCCCTGTCTCTTGTTATCTTCTACTTTACTTCATCTCTTTATCAGTCATTCATCTGCAAGGGGTGCGTGAATTGTCTTACTCTAGCATGGTCACAAAGTATTCATTGATTTCTGACCCTGCTTTCATTGAAATATATGTATAGGTGAATAAAGATTTCCAATTGTTGGCTTTCCTCCTACTTCTGTGGACCTATCTGACCTTTCGCTCGAGCTCTTTCCAACCGACTACTGCGACATTTAACGAACGTTCCGCCACTTTGCGTTCTCAAGTCATTGTAACATTTTTACGCTGTGCTTCTCGACGCGGATTAATTTGCTTTTTAGAGCTTATTACACTGCCACTACTTCCCTTCTCTATTGTTGCTTATGATTATGCATTTTTTCTTCATTATGACTTCTCTGGTTATGGTTTATACTACTCAATTTCCCTTTGGTTTAAGGGTTGTATTTGCTGTGCTCTCCGTTGCCGAATTCTTCTCTCACCAAATTGTTGCCGTGTTCCCGGTATATTGGCTCTTCAAGTCTCTATTCCTTCTGTGGCTCTACCTCCCGTCCACCATGGGAGCTACTAAGATCTACCACAAGTAAGTGACTACGTCAATTTTACAAATATATTGGGCACCAGAAGTTTACCCACATGTTTTTTTGCAGAGCCATCAAGCCGGTCTTCGTAAAGCACCACGCGTCTGTCGACCAGCGTTTGGGTCACATTGCTGACAAAGCGAGAGACGGTGAGTGGATAGCTTGTGGAAATGATTCAGACTTTTGTGTCTCGGAAAGTTTCAAATCAGTAAGCCTTTCTTGTCACGAGGGGTAGGCCGATAGGACAAAGTGGGAGTGTCAAAAGGGAAAGGGATCTTAGGTTGGGATTCTTTGGAAATGGGGACGAGATGGGGTTGGACAGGTTTGCATTCAACTACGTGCAGTTAGATCCGTAATTATATAAACAAAATGAACAGAATTGGAATTGTGGAATTACTTGAAATAAAAGGGGATTGCCTTCTAGATCAACAAAATTGTTGACATCCAACTAATTTGAGATAAAAAAGAAAGTATAGATATTTTAAAGTGAAGATTTTCCATGCGTTACTCTGATACGGGCTGATGTAATGAAAATCTATGAATCAACTACTTCCAGTTGTTTTCTTCAAACCAATGTTTTCAGCAATGAAGAATGCTGCTAACGATGTCATCAACACACATTTGGAATAAAATGGACCATAAACGAATGTTTTAAGTTGATCGGTGTGTGATTACCCCCGATTGCGACCTCACGTTTAATTCCTTTGTGACCATTTGTGTTCATGTTTCCCGCCTAAGTTAATTCTCTAGCTTTTCTTTGTCGACTAGGTTGTTTTTTTCACAATTTCCCGTATATTTTCCCTTATTACTTGTAGAAGGCTCTGTATATTAAAAATATAACCTGTTCGGTGCGCAGCTGTTTGGGTAGTCTATCCATAGCCTTTAATTTACAACCTTTGCTGTTTTTTTTTCATGAAAGAGTTTTTAATCAATAAATGTTAGGTTTAGCCTTGATTCACAGTTGTTAAAAAAGTGTTCTCGTGGTTCGGCGAGGGCAAGTATTCGCAGGCGTATAACTGTTGGCATCTGAATAACGAGTATTCTAACTTATCTATGAGAATACATCTTCAAGGAATGTGCTTGGGTCACGGCATCATCCCCTTCTATCGTGCTCAAAGTGTTGTCATTGGTCTGGTAGATGTATTATTTACAAAGAAATCTGAGATTTTCTTGTCCCTAACAACTCAATGGCCTCCATCGAATCCGTGTAAATTTTAGTGAGCGCAACTGGTGCCAATCATTCCCGTTCGAGTGCGCCATGCATCGAACTTGTTTTTAGAATTGTATCCAGTTTTGATGCGTCTCTTACTAAAACATTTGGTCCAACGCTTCTTAGTGTTAAATTCTTCTTTTAGTGTTTCATTATGTCACTACGGGGAGCCTCTTAACTGATCCATTTAAAGGCAGATTTGACGACAGAATGGATGTGGAACTTAAACGGTCAGGAGGGCTCAAGTGGGTCTTGAACCATTACTCCTTAGAACTTGAGCAGTGAACCTTCACTTTCAACTCCAACGGGTAACGATTTTTCGTATCATCTGCCTTCAAGCGCTAAGGGGAAATCAAAGCTGTAATTGTTTTTGAAAAAAGCAGAGGTGTCGTCAGTATCGGTAAAGATGAAGATAGGACAACTATTTTTCGTTAATAAGGGTAACTATTTTTTTCATTAATAGCGTTATATGAGGGAATCAGAGATGATAACTCCAGAATCTAAAAAAGGCATTGAAATAAGCTCTGGTAAGAAGTGAGGAAAGGAAAATATGGTTGTTCTCAATTTTGCTAACCATAAGGTAAGTGCCTTAAACGGTGTCAACATGGAGTGCAAATAAAAATAAAAGTAAATCGAAAGGTGAACGAAAGCCTATGGATAGGTCTGCCATTTTTGCGCTCAAGTTTTCATAGTTCAGCTGAATCGTATTCGGCTATTTGAACAGATGCCCTGTCAATTGGCTCTATAGAAATTTTTCGATTCATTTAAAAAACAGTCATATGCACCGTGGCATGGCATTCTAGGTAAGGCTCGATCACTGTAAGAAGACGTGTAGAAGTTCTGTACACGAGTCGTATCTTACTAAATAGCAACAATCAAACGAAAAAATGGGTACACACAGCAGGCCTTCGTCGCACAAACCAGGCAGAGTCGGTGGACTGAGTCGCCAGCGCGTACTGTCCGTGGATTTCGGCCAAAGAAATAGAACGTACCTCGTGTACGTCCTGAACATGCACACTCGCGCTGCACTCATTCAGAAACTCTTCCCCTGCCGGTCGCGCGCGAACGGACCCCCCACAAATAAATATAATAGTAATAGGCGTGAACGAAAGTAACCTGCCCTTTGGACCTGATTTCAAATCCCTTACCTCCGGCTCATTAAACCTTTTGCTTGGGAGTAAAGACTGTAGAAATCCACCCAACCTCCGGCAATAACACTTCATGCCATTCGCTCTTATGGCCCGAATAGCTGACTCTAGGGACGATGAACCCGGCGAAGGGGTCGTTTCCGCATCATGTTGGTTTTTGAAGCATAACTCTTTGGAGAAGCTATCCAGGTAGTCGAGAAAGTGACAAATTTATAGGCAAAAGGTCTACCGAGTAGGATGTTCGCAGGACTAATTCGTAGCCAATCTTGTCGAACTTCTGCAGGTTGGTTGTGGAATGTGCGTCCGAGCTACCTGTCAGGGACGAGCCGGTTCCTTTATAATGAGGAATTTCGAGCATATGTGCCAGAGTTCTAGGAGTAGTTTGACACAAATCAGGAGTACTTTTTCCACATTAACAGATCCCACCTGGTTACGAAAAGCTAGACCAGCCGCTGACCCTATCTTCCAACTCAACCTTTTCAGCGACAAATCAACATTTTGCAAAAATTGTCCAAGCCTGATCGCGTCGATGCACTCACGAAAGGTGATTCTGTAGCAACAGAATCAAGTCTGTCGGGTACGCTGGCCGGCAAAAATGATCAAAAAGTCAGGTCGTTTCTTCCTGGCATGAAACAAGCTAGAACGCGGCGAACGACCCTTCAAAATGGTGAGCTGTCGCGGCACGCCCTATTTGGATTTTTGGGAGTTTCCAGCTCTTCCCGTACAACAAGAAAACACAATGCAAGTGCGATTAGTTTAGGAGGAACCCTCTCAATAGATTTGTGCAAACGTGCTTCAACCAGAACGCTCGACTAATCGTTGGCGTCGTCCAATCTCCGATCACCACCCTCACAATCTTTAGGGCTCTCGCTATTCTTACAAAAGCTTCTTTGAACAATGCTTCAGACCATATTTATTGCGAATCTCAGCACAAGTGCGTAATATCTTGACCCTGCTCCTCTCCATACTGGCCTGCTTTGAGCTAGAAAAAGGAAATCATGCAAATTTGCTCTTGGAGTATGCCGTATTCAAGGCTTCAAAAAATGACAACTAAATGATAAGAAACATAGCTAGCCTAGCTGTTAGATAGAACAAGAAAAGCTCTTCAAAACCACATACAGCTCATTGGCGGCTTGCTTGAATTCGTAACAAAATAAAGCGTTCAAAACAAAACACCGAAAAGCGCAAGAACTTTCTTCACGACCTAATAAATTTCT